GGAGGCATATACAGCCCCTCCCTCCTAAACCCCGTCACTAATGCAAAAAGTTGTCCCCAGAGCTTCATTCCAGTAAAGTTTCTCTCAGATGGCCAAGTGATCTGTGTGAGCAACGACTATGAAATTGGCAGCAGATACTCAGTGCCATTCGGAGGCCTCTTCAGTTGTCAGTCAAACAACCCACTGGCAGTAAATCAGCATCGCTGCCCTCCTAAGTTCAGTCAGCACCTCACCACAGTGAGCGACGGCTGTGAAATTCTTTACTGTGTCCAGTCAGGGCTGTTCACAGGTGGGCAGCTGCTTCCGGTCCATCTGCCACCTTTCACTAAACCTCCACTTGTCAGCATGCATGCCACAAATACAGTTATGGTCATGACTGAGGGAGATATGAGCTGGATCAGAGTGGGGCAGACCAAGGCGTGGAAAGTGGCCAAACCAGAGGAAATCAAGGAAATGGTTCGGAAGCTTAACCCGGAAATGAATCAGATGTCTAGTGGTGAAAAGGCAGGGGTAGCCTTTGGGGTGATCGGTATGATGGCGCTGGTGGTCATAGCGGCAGTAGTCCTGGTGAAGAGAAGGAGGAGGCTGTCTGGGTTGAGGCCAGCTAGCGGCTATGAGGAAATACGTGGTGAGGTGGAACGTGATGAAGGAGAGAGACAACAAGATGAGGCTTGAGAAAAAACACAGATAAGAAACACTTTTTAGAACGGCTGCTCGTGCCGCTCAGTTGGGTTGTAACCCAGCTCTAGCTTAACATTTACCAGCACATATGTTTATGTTTTTAGTGTTTCACAAATAAGTGTCTGATTAAAGGGTTTTAAAATGTTTGTGAAAAGAATGCCTTTGACCTTCCTTAATTTTTGAGAGTCCACACATAGTTTAAAGACTTGACCCCAAGAGATGGAGGTTCATTTTGGTGTGACAGATTTGGATTTTAACTAGAAATCACTATGATGAATCTCACAGAAGCAGAATATGTTGTCTAGTTTGAATCAGTTGGACTTTGCATTAATTATCCTTATTCTTTTGAAATGTATATGAAACCAATCAGTAATTCACATTTCAACAACTGCTATGCATATTAAATATATAACAACACATTTATTGGAAGACATTTTTTTCCTGTTATCACGATGTGTACTTAGCAGAAGTAAACTTCATCATACTATGTTAGCTCTAACAAATGTGACTCCAGAGCCATGTGCCTTTGAAATCACCAAATAGCTCAACGCAGAAGTGCTTTCCCAAAGGCCGGAGAATCAATACTGCCCTCATGAGGCCAAGATGCCTAATGTCACGTAGTACATCAACATGGTATACCCCGTTTAAAAACCTTAAATTATTTTGAAACATTTTTACAATGTTTCAAAATAATTTTTTACAGATAATTGATTAACATTTTGTGAAGCCTTATTTTAAAATATGTGAATAAAAGAAGCATTAGATTAATGATTTTCTATGTTTGGTATATAATGTTTTGTTTTACGTTGCTAAAATTGAAAGGATTTATAAATGTATGTCAATGAAACTCTTCTGCACGGCACTTAACTACTAATTAAAGTTGTGTACAACAATTTAACGGATCTATATCTTCATGTTTATATTGTATTTATGCTTGGTATGTCTTACACATATCTCAGTCAGCGTTATCTTGAACAAAATAATCATCATTGTAACAGATCTGAGTTTTTTTTAAACTTGCAAACTAAATAAATGGAGTTAAATCTTTTGAGCTAAATCCAAACACATGATGACTGTAATTGTATCTACACCACGCAGTGTTGATGTTTATACAATATGCAAAACTATCAGCTGACGTGAACTCAAACGTTCAAGGTTGCATAAATCTGTAAACGTGGCACCGAAGCAGATACTGGTCCTCTAAATAAAACAACGCTGAATGAAACCTCTTGCACAGAGAGACACTTATCTTCCCGAACCTTACTGAGAAAACATTCCAGCCACATTAATGCTGTCATCTATAAAAAAAAAAGTGTTTAAATGTACTTCCATTAAACATGTCTGTTTTACTTTTGAACATCTTGGTTTTATAGTGAACTGTAAGAATCCAGTGATCGTTTTAATAATCTACAGACCTCCAAGGCCTAACAGTGTTTTTATCCAAGAATGTGGTGAGCTACTATCCCATTTTACATCAAAGTATGATACAAATCTTATTTTAGGTGATTTTAACATACATGTCTGCTGCCTTTTACAGACTTTTGTCACAGATTTTATGGATACTCTGGATTCTTTTAACCTCACTCAGGCTATACAGGAGCCTACACACTCAAAGGGTCACACCCTTTATTTAGTGGTCTCAGGCCTGACAACTTTGAGACAAAGGATATCTGTGTGTCTGATCACAAAGCGGTTTCATTCAATGTGGTTTCATTCCATCCTCAACCATTAATTCACACTTCACCTGTCTGCTGCGGGGTTTTTAATTTGTAATTTGTCTGCGAGCATGTTTTCTGAGCATTTTTCCACGGCTTTTTTAACTGCTTTTAATCCTCATCTGAATTTAGAGGAGCTGGTCTCCCTTTTTGATTAAACCTGTCAGACTGTCCTGCACTCTGTTGCCCCCTTTAAAGACAAAAAGCCAAATATAACACCCCAGCCCTGTCTAAATTAAACTACCCATGATTTGAAGAGAGACTGCAGGAGAAAGGAACGAAAATGGAAAAAAACAGGTCGACATGTATTTTACGAGAGTTGGAAAGATGCAATGAAGACTTATCAAATGGCAGTTAAAGGTGCCAGAAATTCCTTCTTCTCCAACTTCATTTTAGCGAATCACTCGAATCCGAGAATTCTATTTAAGATAATCGACTCGGTGGACATCAGGCAACAAATTACCCCCCCAGACCGTGTTTTACATGTCAGTAGGGATATTCCTAGTCATTTTAGCAATTTTAAACCTGTTTCGCTGTCCCTTTTAGCTGAAATCATATCCCGTATGAAATCAACCACATGCAGTATTGATTCTATACCAACTACATTTCTTAAATAGTTTATTAATACAGTTGATCCCAGTATTTTATTGATTATCAACAGTTCATTTGCAACAGGAACTATTCCAACTACTTTTAAACATGCTGTGGTCCAACCTCTTTTAAAGAAACTCAATCTTGATTCCTCTGTACTTAGCAATTTTAGGCCCATACTAAACTTCCGTTTTTATCAAAAGTTTTAGAAAAAGTGGTTTCAACCCAGCTTTTAGCTTTTATGTGTCTTAATAACGTTTTTGAGAAGTTTCAGTCAGGTTTTAGAGCTTTACACAACACAGAAACCGCCCTCTTCAAGGTATCCAATGATCTCCTTTTAGCAGTCGACAGAGGGGAGAGCTCCATTTTAATTCTTTTAGACCTAAGTGCAGCCTTTGACACAATAGACCATGAACTTTTAATCAACCGTCTTAAAACCTGGGTTGGCATCAAGGACTCTGCACTTAGTTGGTTTTATTCTTACCTTTCAGATAGAACCCACTCGGTCACCATAGGTAACTACTCATCTATACATCTCACATTACCTGTGGTGTACCGCAAGGTTCAATTTTATTTTCCATATACATGCTCCCACTTGGTCATATCATCCAATGTCACAATGTCTCTTTTCATTGCTATGCTGACGACACACAGATATACCTTCCCTTGAGACCTGATGACCCCAGAAGCCTCTAGCTGCTTTTTTAGACTGTCTTAATGATATCAACTGTTGGATGGCACAACATTTTCTTCAACTCAATAACTCAAAATCAGAAATCATAATATTTAGTCCCCCAAACCCAATCACTCCCATTAAAAGTGCCATTGGCCCCTGACCATTAACATAAAGTCCACTGCCAGAAACTTAGGAGTAGTTTTTGATTCAGATTTAAGCTTCAAACCACAAGTCACAAAAGTTGTCCAGTCCTTTTTTCTACAAATTAGAACCATCGCCAAAATCAAAGGAATGCTCTCTCAACCTTACCTGGAAAAGGTAATTCATGCATTCATCTTTTCAAGACTTGATTACTGTAACTCCCTTCTTTCTGGCATCAACAAAAAGTCACACTCTTGCCTCCCACTAGTTCAGAATGCAGCAACTCGGCTTCTCACTGTTTAACAGACGACATCATATCACCCCAAATCTGGCCTCTCTCCACTGGCTCCCTGTACGTTTTAGAATTGATTTTAACATTTTACTGATCACTTTTAAAGCACGTATGGGTCTGGCCCCAAAATACATAGAGGAAATGTTGACCCCCCTATGAGCCAGCTCGCAGCCTCAGATCCTCGGGTGGGGCCCTTCTGGCTGTTCCAAAGTCGAGGCTGAAAACTAAAGGTGACCGTGTCTTTGCCATCAGGGCCCCTCGGCTTTGGAACGAGCTGCCTGAGGACATAAGGCTCGCAGAATCAGTAATCTCTTTTAAATCACCTCTTAAAACACATTTTTACAGACTGGCTTTTATGTGATGTCATCGCTTTCCGCTTTTTTTTTTATCGATTATTTTATTTCATTAATTTCTTAGTTTATTTTTAACGTATCCAACGGTCTCACTGAGCTTTCTGTTGTTATTATTGCCTTGTTTTTGTTGCTTTGACTGTCAAAGCACTTTGTGAACTCTGTTTTTAAAGGTGCTATATAAATAAAGTTATTATTATTGTTATTATGGCGTTGGTAAGGTTATCAGTACACAGACAGGCTGGCTCAGACACAAAAACACACACAGTCACCAATAGACAGACACACATGTACTGTACGCTCACATGCACATAGCCATTTCCCGTAAAGAGTGCTCATAGTACTAATGTGCGTCTTTTCTCTCGTGGCTAAAATAATCCCCCTCCCCCACACACGCACGCGAACATACACACACACAGCTGTGAAGGATTTATAGAGCTGGGTCAGGAACTGCTCACCGACTCCCAACCTGGACCATAACTGCTGTCCTCTACGGGCCGGCAGAGGAACTCTCAGACTGGCGATCCAGAGAGGAGCAGGTCTGAGGGCAGACAGCTTCACGAAAACAGACGCCTATGTGAAGATCTTCTACAACGGCATGTACGAGGAGACCGAGACGGTGATGGACAACGACCCAGTGTGGAATGCAATTTACGACTTTGGATTCGTGGAACTGGGTCAAGTGTTGAGGTTTGAAGTCTGGGATAGAGACGTCTTTTACAATGACGTAGTGGGTATATGTGTGGTGTTCCCCGAGCGAGGAACTCACGCTCTAAGCTGTCAGCTGAGCAAAGGAGTGCTCTATTTCACCTACACCATCAAATGTGACGCTTACTTGACAGGCTTCAGGTGTGGACGGTACTCCCCCAATGCTGAGTAAATTATTAGATTACAACATAATGTTGACTTCAGCATTTTCCTTGCACATAATGTGAAAACTTTCAAGTATCAGATTTAAGGGCTAAAAGCCAATAAACTGTAATTTCCCATTCATTGGAATTGATTTTGGAATCATTTGTCAACACATAATGATATCAGACAAAGTAAACACATTAAACGTTGTGCACCATGCATTTATATGGCCGGTCATTATTCGCAACAGCAATATGTGTCAATGTTTAATTGTTTGTCATCATGCTTAATATCTTTTATTACAACAAATACAAAAACAGACATTTTTAATATACACTAGGTAGAGATGAGCCAAATATGTCAAACCTTCTATGGGGTTACGTGTGAATGTGTCTACCCAGTGATTACTGACGATAAAGACAACTATTCAAGCAGAAAAATTATTTTCACTGAATTGCCCTGCAGCTTTAAATTCAGTTCATTCAGGGTGAAGTGAAAAAGCCACATTATATTTTTTCTCATCTTCTAAAAAGAGAAATTAGTGTTGGAAGAATTCACCTCTATGAGTCTATCCAGTCAGAGTCTAATGACTGGTCTCTCTGGCCATTTTTCTCTTTTGGAAATCGTCCTATGATTTGACTTACTCAACTCACACTTCAATAGTCCTGCTCTGCTCTATATCCTCATCTCTCCTCCGTGTGTCAAGGTGTGTGTACATCTCACTCAAGTCAGGAAACTTGTCAGAATACCCATATTTGATTGGCTGAGCTGCATCACGTGATGTGATTCACAACGCATGAGTCGGTGTTTTTCCTGCACTGCTGAACAAGTGCCGTAAATGCTGGAATAATTACGCTGCATAAAAAATGCCCTTCAAAATAAAATCACAACTTTTCTTTTTTTTTTTTGTCAGGCAAAGGTCCGTGACCCACTGAAAACGGGGTCGCGACCCACCAGTTGAGAATCACTACTGTAGATGACAGGCAAGTGTATTCAAACTCTTCCGGTGTGTGCACTGCTCTACCGAAGTGGAATAACTCCTGACAAGTGTGTTATTATTTATATATTATTCCTGATAAATCATTGCTGAGGTGTCCATCCTCAGACTGCATGGTGGTCTCCTTTACTTACAGTACAAGTGGACATGTTTGTTTTCATGACTTCTGCACCCTTGAGGTAATAGTTCATTTCAGCACACTGTGGTTTTACAGTATCAAACCAAGGAAGCACTGACTGGAAACTCACTTGAACGATTAGATAACACGAATCACAGCAATAACA